GCTGCTGTTGGATGGAATTTTCTATATATGTCTGTTAAGTCCATTTGGTCTAAACCATTGTTCAAGTCCAGTATTTCCTTGCTGATTTCTGGTCTGGATGATCTATCCATTGTTGAAAGTGGAGTATTGAATTCCTCTATTATTACTGTATTGTTGTCTGTTACTCTTTCAGATTTGTTAGTATTTGCTTAATATAGTTTGGTACTCTGATGTTGGGAGTATATGTATTTACAATTGTTATGTCTTCTTGATGAATTTACCCATTTATCGTTATATAAGGACCTTCTTTTTCTCTTGTTATAGTTTTTGACTTGAAGTCTACTTGTCTGATATAAATGTAGCTACCCCTGTTCCATTCTGATTCCTATTTTATGGAATATCTTTTTCCATTCCTTCACTTTAAGCCTGTGTGTGTCCTTGAAGCTGAAGTGAGTCTCCTGTAGGCAGTATATAGTTAAGTCTTCTTTCAAAATCCATTCAGTCATTCTATGCCTTTTGACTGTAATATAATCCATTTACATTTAAAGTCAAATCCAGGCAGGGCCCTGACGCCCGCATACTCTACCATCGCTGCTAGGTCTTGCCACAGTCACATGGAAGTAGAAGCTGGTGTTGAGAGTTAGGCTAAGTTTATGCAGGTGACACCTGGAGAGGCTAGCTGCAGGTTAGCCCATTGGTACAGGCCAGTGATAAGAAACAGAGCTAGATCTGGGCTCACAATCGTCTCAGGGCCCTGGCTGTCAGCATGCACTTCTGTAGCTGCAGGATCTTGCCACAGATGTACACAGCAATGGAGGCAGGTGGTGGGCATCAGGCCAGTGGCATGCAAGTAACAAAGCTGAAGGGGCTAGCCCCAAGCACACACACAAAGGTGGGGGTCAGCTGAAGGGATCTATACTGATGTCTTGAACTCACACACAGCCACAGAAGACTGAGAAGGCTGCCAGCACAGGTCCTGGATTCCCTTGAGGGTGAGGGTTGGAAGAGTATGGAGGGAGCCAGGAGAGACTCAGATGGTTGACATCAGTGAACACAAATAACTGTAGGGCAAAAAAATGGTGAAATCTACAGAAGTCCAAGGCAGCTTTGCTGGCTGCTGTTTTCTTCAGTGGGGAAACTGCTGGGATGCTCTGCAGAGCAGGTCTCTGGGAACCACCACTGTTGTTCCGACAGCGTGGCTGAAACTGGTAGCCTCTGCTTTCCTTCTTTGTTCCTAGCCAGCACGTCTCAACTTTGCTGGTTTCTGGATGGGGTGAACTTGAAGTGGTTCCTTCATGCCATGCCCTAAAGGCTGGGGAAGCTAATGGCTCACCCTACTCTCTCTTTCCCAGGGAGGGAACTCTTTCTAGCTGGAGAGTTCCCTCTAGGCACTGAGCACTGCTGGCTTTTTGCTAGGGCTGCCATAACAAAGTGCCACAGACTGGGTGTCTTCAACAGCAAAAATTTATTTTCTCAAAGTTCTGGAGGCTGGAAGTCTAAGATCAAGGTGTCAACAGGGTTTCTTCTGAGGCCTCTATTTTTGGCTTATAGATGCCCGTCTTCTCCCTGTGTCTTCTCATGGTCTTCCCTCTGTGGATGCCTGCAGTCCTGATCTCTTCTTATAAAAACATCACACTTATCAGATAAAGGCCCACCCTAGTAATCTCATTTTCATTCAGTTATCTCTTTAAAGACCCTATGTCCTAATAGAATCACACTCTGAAGTTCTGGGGGCTTAGACTTCAACAAATGAATGGGTGAGGGAAAAGAACACAATTAAGCCCATAACACAGGAAAAGTTAGTTACGTATCTTGTGGATTTTCAAGTCATAGGTTCCTGTGGGGAAAAAAATCTGAAGTGGATGCCATGCAGCAAAAAGAAACAGAATCACAAACTGAACATACAGAGCCTGAGGGCAAGAAAAGGCAGGTGGTGCAGGTCCTTTGGGTGGGCTGGATCACAGGTTTTCAACAATGAATGAATGACAAAGCATCTTCTGCTCCCAGGGCTCGGGCACCTTGACTCCTGGACTACAGCATATCAGAAAATAGAAGCAAAGCAGCAGCATTCTAATCTGAATGTTTGCCAATCTGAAATGTCTAGTATTTAGTTTGACAATTTGGCCTTTGAGTGTGATCTAGGAATACAGGTCCACTCAAGGATCAACTTCTCTCAAGCTAGGAGTACCGCAAATCAGGAAAGCATTGTCCATGTCCTGAGAGTCTTGGAAGAGCCATCATAGAGGAACAGAAGCTGCACTGACAGAAAAAGCCGTCTGGGTCAAGGGTGCAGTGTGGGCTCAGGGCCTGAACAACACTCACCTGGATGCTCCAGAGCCAGTCAAACAACGCTTCCCCATTAACCTTACCCACATCTCCCTTAATTCCATCCCCACCAACCCGCCAAGGCAATGGCACCTCATTCAAACAACTTGCTTCACTGAAATCCAATTTGAGGCTGGGTTAGGGGTAACGTTAAGGAATCTCTCTCTTCCAGCTAAGCACACATATGTGTTTCTCCCAAGGTTTGCTTTTGTGAAGCAGAACAAGCTGTAGTGGATCTTCTAGGAAACGGTGATGTCAGTACCAGGAAAAAGTGAGTTCTAGTAAATTTCAAAGGTAGAAAGTTTTCTACGAACGAGTACATCAATGCCTGACTCAGTTATATGGAAGTAAGAAAAGCTCCCAGGTGTCAAAGGCCCCGGGACCAACATCACTCTGCAGGGAAGGAGACATGCCTTCTCATTTTGAGAGATTTAAAGAAGCTTGTTTGCCTTATAGGGTATTGTTTTTCAGTTCTATAAACTAAGCATTAATAAGCAATCACTCTGTCCCATAACAAACACCTTCCATTTGAGGGAAAGAATAGCTCTTTCCAGTATCCCTGAAATTATTCTAGTACAGTTTATCACTTCCTGGGCCCTGGTTACCCAAGCGGTTCAGTCTGTTCTAACGGGACATTAAGCATTGAAGGCAGAGTTACTCACCCCATGTTTACTAGAGGTTTGAAGTTGAAATCATCTCCAAACTTTGCTACATGTTGTTAAATTGTTCAAGTTGCTAGATTCTATTCTCAACTGTCCTGGCTCCTGCAACCTAATCCACATCTTGTGCCAACTAAAGCTCACCACAGAGATGGTCAGTCTTTGTCTAGAATCTCTAGAAAGCAAGAAATCAGGATGTTATGGGGGTTTTTTAATGGTTTTATTTTTTACCAAAGTAACAAATTTTAATATATGGGACTAACCGTAGCTTAATACAACATCTGTTTGTCATCTTTCATGTATATATCTCCCATCCCCTTTTCAAAGTACCTGCTCACACTCAGAGGAGGTAGTAGATGCTATAAGCACCAGAGTCCCCATTTTTCAAAGAGAAAAATACAGTTTAGACCAAATAATTTACCACATAGATGCACTGAATCATTGACAAAGTCAGAAACAGAATCTAGGACAATCTAGATATTTCATATTTCATGCCTGCTCCATCCATCAGCTTTCAGTCCTCTCCCTTTGTCCTCTCAAAGCTCAAAAATATCACAAATTCCACACAAAACTCAGTGCTCCAAGTAATGCTGGCCATGAGAAACTCTCTACTTTTCCCTCTTCTCTGCCTAGCTTAAGGGGAACATGAGGGCACATAAAATATTTTCTTTTCTTTTCACAAGAACAAGCCATTCTTTACCTGTTGAATCATTTTTACACCCAAGGAACCACTCTCAGCTCCACAGAACCTCTGATCCTAGCTCCTTCCTAAACTAGGCTGAAAGCAGTCAATACTGATATCATGACTTCCACAGGATTATATTACACAATATGATTACTATTTCTCAGTTGGAATTAAAAGAATTAAATTCATTAAATTTAATTTTAATTTTAAAAATTTCCTCCTAAGAAACAGATTTCACAAGAAATAAAAGTGTTGAGCACTGCCACCTGGAACAGAGACCACCCACCCTATCCTAGGTCGATGGACGATCACCAATCAAGAAGACACCTCAGAAAGGAAGAGCTGTGGTCACGTGAGCTCACAGCGGGGAGAATCTCGGGCTAAACGTTTCAGGAGAATGCAGCTGCTCTGAGATGACAGAAGCCCCCTAGAGGCCTATCTGCTCTGTTACATGACACAGAGTCAGCTTCTAAGCCTGTGTGTATATCAATGTCAGCACCATAAGGAATAGGAGCCTCTGGAAATGCCCAATTCATTACAGTCACCAGAGTGTGTACTCTGTGCATCCATAAGAAAAGGTTAACCAAAAATAAAGCAAGCATTTATAAACAAATGCTTTTATCATTCATTCGATCCACAAACACTACTGAGTGGCTAAGACATTCCAGACACAGCAAATGCCAAAATGAATAAAATCTCAAACCCGAGAAATTAACAGTGGACATTTTTAGAAAACCAGAAAGCCCCCTTGACTCAAGATTATCTGCTTTCCCTGTTGGCCTGAGGCTGGCACCTGGGTCCTTCCCTTTGGTAAGTACTGCCACCCCAAGGCCTCTCTTTCAGAAAGCAAACACCCAGGACAGGGACCCTATCAAGCTCCCATCCTCAGCTTCAATGTATTCCTCAGTTTATCAGATACATTTTTCTTGTGCCAGGGAAAATTTGACATGCTATTATGAGGAGGGAACTTTTTTTCTTTTAAAAAAAGATGAGGTGGGTGGTTAGATAGGGAAAGTGGCAGGAACCAGGGAGACCGCAACTGTTCAATAATATTCAAGGATGACAAGCAATGTTGACATGCTGAATCTACCTGAGACAAACTTGCATCAGACATCACAGGGCTTCAGCTTCTTAATCTGCCTTTTCCTAGACATCAGATTAAGTGGACTTCCCTCTGCAGCTCTGACACGTACAGATGACTGTATGACACTGGCCTCAAACACATAAGTTAACAGCAAATCACTGATTTTTCTGCAGCTAGCCTGTAATTACAAATGTACACATTCATCAACTAGACAAAATTTACAACTGGCTGGTGGCCCTTCAGCACCACAGAATGTAACTAAAGGGAGATAGTAAAGAGTCCAGCCTTCAGAAGCACAGCCTGCAGCAGAAGGCAGGACTCAGGCAAAATATGCATGGCAGAAGACAGCCACGGCCAGCAGGATGATGCCGTTGATGTTCACTACCATCCGCCACAGAGGCTTCTCCGACGTGTCTGTCATCTTCAGCTTCAAGGCTGCCTCCTCCTCCTTTGTCATTTTGGGGCCCTTCTGCTGGTCCAGGCCACAAAACAGGTCATAGGCCTTCCTGAAGCATCCTTTTTTCTCCTCAGGAACTTCTGTGTCACGGGAAAGGAATAAACGGATTATTAGCTACAGAAGCAGGAGGCTCCTCACTCCTTCCTAGAAGAGAGATCTGAGCTTTGAGGAAGGCATTTAGTGAAGGCTTTAGTAAAGTGGTCTTGCTGTTGGAGGAGTAACTTTTTAGGGCTTGCAAATAGGCTCTGAGCCATAAATCACCTATTTCAATGGTCTCCTCTGGGGCTTCCTGAATGTCCTCCTCTTCTGCATCCAGATCAATACGCTCCTCTTTGCTGTTACGCAGGCTCCAACACAGGCGGTAGAGCTGTGGAGAAAGCAGAACAGGTTAGCAGAAAGACCCAAATAGTGTCTTGGGCCAAGAGGTGGGGGGAACAAAGAGATGTACATCAAGAAAGGAAAAGGAATGTGGTCTCTTAATACCAGCAAGAACACAGATTATACTTCCTGTCCACAGCACTATCTCTAAGTACGCTGGGAACTTAGATACAAACCACACACTTGTACACACCACCCCCTATGATATGTGCATATTGAGAGGCTAAGAGATTGCCTTGAATATAGAAATGTTTCGAGTGAATGATCTCTTGTTACATATGATAAGTGAATTTGTTCTTTTTAACACTGATGCTGGGAAATAAGGCTAGATACCCATTTATCCAGACCAGCAGTGTAAGGTCAGATTTTTTTGTCCTATATTATGGGGGGAGAATCGTAGACTCGTGAGCCATTTAGAACAGGGAAGAGCTGGAGGTGCAGTTTCCACTGACGTGAAACCAGAAGCTACTTCACTTCAAGAGGAAGCCTGGAACTAAATGTGCTTGGGGCTGCAACTTTCCTGTTTTGTTTTGGTTTTTTTACATTTTTTTATTGAGTTACAGTCATTTTACAATGTTGTGTCAAATTCCAGCGTAGAGCACAATTTTTTAGTTATACATGAAAATACATATATTCATTGTCACATTTTTTTTCAATGTAAGCTACCACAAGATCTTGTATATATTTCCCTGTGCTGTACAGTATAATCTTGTTTATCTATTCTACATTTTGAAATCCCAGCCTGTCCCTTCCCACCCCTCGCCCCCTTGGCAATCGCAAGTTTGTATTCTATGTCTATGAGTCTGTTTCTGTTTTGTATTTATATTCTTTTTTTTTTTTTTTAGATTCCACATATGAGCGATCTCATATGGTATTTTTCTTTCTCTTTCTGGCTTACTTCACTTAGAATGACATTCTCCAGGAACATCCATGTTGCTGCAAATGGCTTTATGTTGTTGGTTTTTATGGCTGAACAGGGGGCTGCAATACTTTCAAAGATTGAGACATCAAGAAGGAATGAATACAACAAAAAGAAAGCCTAGGACGCATTTGGCCAATAACCATGATAGTGGTTCTGCTGCTATAAAAACAGTCTTTGTTTGACATAAATGTTGGTCACAGCTTTGAAAATTTGGCAGTGAGGTTGAAGGTCTCTTAGGGATTCCATAATTCCCTATAGTTGTGTATGCATGAGAAAGGGGTCAACAAAACCCTTTCTCCTTCTCTATAAATGTAATTTTGGGTTCACTCTTTAGCTGTGTTCTTTGGAAACCTGGAAAGAGTAGGATGTCAGCTGAATTGGGTTACCAGACTATATTGCTTATGGTAAAAGTAACCCATAATTGGTAACTTCATCTGCATTGGGAGGGCTGTGAACATATCCTAAACCAAGGGCAACCTCTAGAGCTAAAGAAGAGTACTTGCCCCTTTTGAAGTCGTGAATCAATTGGAATTTGATAGCGTTTGAAATTTCTTAAATTCTATGGTCAACTGTTTGGAGGTTTAATTGGAAAAAAATAAAATAAAGGGTAAGTTGTACTTCAGATTCCCCTGCGCATGGTGATTTTTATAACCAGGTATGTTCCTTGCTGGGATCCCTGGAAGCTATGACCAGGAGACCATTACAAGAAATATACATTTCTATCTGGGACATGAGCACCCAAATCAGGGTGGCCCCTGTGCCTGCCCATTGATCTCACTCCCTTGCACCTGAGCTGTCCCCTGGGGAGCAGGATCCAGAGAGAAAAGCCCCTGGACTGAAATGTCGCCTGGCATGAGGACTCCTGCTGAAGACACAATCTTGATATTGCTCTGCTGGCAAACCGTGTTTTCTGCCCCGTATCCTTCTACATGAGACCAATGGCAAGGATGACCTATTTTAGTCAGGTGAGTATGAGATGTCTGATTGAGGCAAGGGCAACCCAGATGGGTGTTGCAGCAGGCACATGAAACCAGGCCAGAACAGGTCTCCCAAATGGATACTCACATGCACATCTGGAATGGGCTTGGAGAAAAGGGAGACAGCCAGGATGATGATGATCGAAATGACAAAGAGGATGATGGCAAAGTACAAGTAGTGCACACCACAGATAATCTTGGGACAGTTGCTGGGCTCCATGCAGCTCCCGGTTCCATAGGCAAACTCGGTTATCATACGGGACACCCCGATCAAAAATCCTATGATCAGTCCCCAAAAGGCTCCCTGTGAAAGAAAACCCTTGGGTTAACAAACGCTGAATACAGAAAAGGGTGGTGCCTTTGCTGGGGGAGAGAGGTGAAAGAACAATGGTGAGAGAAGTGACAGCTCTGGGATCTGAAACAGGAATGCTGGAGTTCAGGATGGGCTAGGAGTGTTACACCAGGCTGTCAGGGGGTGTGTTTACCGGGGGTAAGTTTACCACGTTGCACTCCCTTTGTGTTGCTGATGCCTAGCCCCATGCTGGCATCTGGAAGTATCTGCCAGGTGAATAAATGAATAAGGAAAAACAAAGAGGTGTTCCCCACTTGTCCCCTATACATTTATTCAGTCAAAAAATTACTTCTTGACTTTAGTTTGTGTGAATAGTATGGATAAAACTTGCTTAGGTTTTCCTTCTCTTTTGGCAATTCCTTTAGTCTTTATTCTCAAGAGGCTCTTGAAAAGTCTGGCATCTTGTGACATTTTCCTCAAGATCTGGAGTCACCCCTCAGCAAACAGAGTCCCAAAAATCACTTTGCAGTCTCTCCATGCTACGATTCAGAGACCTAGGCCAGGGCTTCTCACCCTCAGCACTGTGACATTAGGGCTAGATAATTTTTTGTTGGGGGTAGGGGGCAGGGGGCTGTCTTGTGCACTGTAGACTGTTTAGCAGCCTCCCTGGCTTCCACCCATTAAATACCAGTAGCATTCCCCAAATCATAACAATCAAAAATGTTCCCAGACATTGCCAGATGTCCCCTGGGGAAGGGCACAATCACCCCTAGTTGAGAGCCATGATGATCTATCCCAATTCTTAGCCTTACTGTTTGAAAGCCCTGGTCCACTGCTGAATTGAGTCAGCCTGCGGCCCACTGCAATACCCAGCTGGGCTTCTAGCCACACTTTCCTAATTTGCATTTCAAAAATCTCCCAGTGAACCAGCTCCTGCCAATCTCAACTGAAACGTATCCCATGAACCTGTGCCCATTTCTCTAACCTGCTGAGATCACTTGCAATTTTATTTCTGGTTCCCAAGGCCACTCATCTGTGCACCGTTTTGTGTCACAGCATATCTGGACTATGTTCCTAACGGCAAAGAGCAGATGAAGAAGGGCATGTGTTGGGACTTATGTACCTCAAAGCTGGGTCACTCCAGTGCAGTGTTTCCCTGATATATATCTGTCTCTGCCCTGTTGGAAGAAAGGGGGTGTCTAGCCAAAACTATGTCACTATTTATGTTGTTTCAGACAGTCAGCTACATAGTTAACACCCCCACTTCTTCCCAACCCTCCCCAGGCATGGAGATGGTTGGATACAGAGATGACTAAGCAACATCCAGTCAGAAGCCATATCCAAAGATATCATGGTGCTTCAAAATCTTCCACAATGTCCCACTGATGACCTAAATTCTTTAGCCTGGCTTTCAAAAGGGCCATGCCTAGTCCAAACTTAACCTGCTTTTCCAGCTGAGTCTTCCATTATACACACACACACACACACACACACACACAAACTCTCTCAGCAGGTGAGATTCCTGACAGGCCCTCACCCTCATCCCTATCCTGCTAGGGTACCACAGCTTGGCCCTTCTCTGGGCCCTGAAAAGTACTGGCTAGAAAGTCAAGATCACTGCAGAACCAAGGAGGTAGCCTATGCTAGGACTTCCTCTGGAGTTGCCACCCAGGGGCTACAAACTTCCCGGGGAGTGTCATGCAGTTGGGTCAAATCATCAAGATTTAATGAAAAATGGTCACCATTAGTTGGGAATTAGTTTGAAACCTGCAAGAAGGAGAAGACAGAAGTCTGAGAGAATGTGAACCCAGGAGAGCCCCATGGTCCCTGGAGGCTTTTTCATATAAACCCTTAGCAGCACATTCATTCCTGCTTAAGATCTCTGGGAAGCAGAATGCCTCCCACACAGAATATGCAAATTCAGAAGGGAATTTCTATGCCAGAATGACTTTGCTGGACATGCATGTATGATACCTACCTGCTCATTGACTCTCTTGCAGAAAATAGCAAGCAGGAAGACAGCCGCAATGGGTGGTCCCAAGTAACTGGTGATGGACTGGATGTAGTCGAAGAGCTGCCCACTTTGTGCTGACTGCACAATGGGCACCCAGGCGATGCTGATGCCAATCAGCACCAGGATGAACAATCTGAAATCAAAGCCCCCACAACAGGTGTCAACAAACGGCCCTACATGAATAAATACATATCACTATGAATCATATAGATATATATAACTAGCAAGCATACATGCACACATAAACATTAGATAGATAGATAGATAGATAGATAGATAGATAGATAGATAGATAGATAGATAG